ATTTTAAAATTTTTATTTTCAGATTCTATCCAAATAATTATTTGGTCCAGGCTAATCTATAACAAGGTAATCAAGTGTGTCATTACACAATTATATTTTTCAGTGATTGATGAATTGGAATACAATTTTGTTGGACTTGGGACATACTTTTTTTGTTTATTTGGGGGCTCTCTTTTAATAAACCGAGTAATAATTTTTAAATATTACTCCCACCGTCCTAAAAAAATTTTCCTGTTTTAATTTTTTTGATCAAACACTAACCTTTTTTTACCACAAATAGTGAAAAATCTAAATTTTAATTTTAATATAAATTCAATATAATTGGGTCTATCTTAAAATATAGTTTTGATTTATTAAATTTTTTATAATATTAATTTATTCAAATTATGTCTAATTTGTAGTCAAAGAGTGTCAGTCTTTGACTAAAAAATCAAAATAAAGAAGTTTTGTGAGACGGGAGAGTATGTAAAAAAAAGTGAGCTAGGGACATTTGGCCCAACGCCTAGTCTAACAATGTGTTGTTCTTGCACGTATCAGGGATAAGAATAGTTCGCACACACACTCTCTCTCTCTCTTACCAGATTAAGATTATAAGTTGATTTAGGACATTTGGAAATAGCATTTGAGGTTAGTATTAGCGTTTTAGATAAAATTTCAATGGTGCAGATTACTTATAAACTCTAATGCTAAACGATGCCCGTAGATAGTCTTTTCAAAATGCTAACGCTAATCTCTAACGTTATTTTCAGATAGATACTTAAAATCTAGAGAAATTTACCTAAATAGGACTAAAACATAATGACTTTTCCAATATAGGACCATATATTTTTATTTCCCAATATAAGGCTTTTGGTCATTATGAAGTAGTTTTTATTTAACTAAATATCCATCATTACTGGACATAATTCCTTCCACTAGGTCATTATTAAATCTTATTTAGGGAATGGTAAAGTTTAAATCCTACATTAGAAAAGTCATTATATTTTAATCCTATTTAGTGCAATTTTCACTAAATTCTGTGGCATATTCTTTGGACAGTTGGATATAACTTTTTTTTGACAGCCTATTTTTAGACAATTTGGGAATATGCGTGATTTTAGACGGACTGGTATAATTGTTCCGGTAGACCCGGTCTTTGTTGGTGTTTAGTGGGTCCCTTAAGTTTTTTTTCTTTTTTGACAGCTCCTCAAGAAAAGGTAAATGTGAGAATTTTTCACAAAACATACCATCATACCCCACCCCAAATTAGGGGTGTAAACGAATATTAATCGTATCGGATATATCATTGCTAGATCTGTATTCATTTATTTTTGTCGGATATTAAATTCAGATACGGATCTTGATGGATACTAAAAATCAAAATTGTAATTGCATCCGTCAGATATCGATCGGATATTTGATATATCCGTATCCATTTTCAATTTTTAAAGTTAAACTGAAAAATACTTTTATTTCTAATTAAATTAAAGTCAAAATATTATTCATTGAATGGTAATTTTTTACAGAGTAATTTCTTTTTATTTCTTATAATGTATAATATTCTACGACAACTTCATATGGTAAAAAAATATACATAGTACACATACACACATATTTTTATGTGTCTACACATATATTTTGCATATAAAAATGTCTTATGTATCTACACATGTATTTTGCATATAAAAATGTCTTAGGTAGAACGTTCACCCAGGGTGTGTCTAGACCTTGATCTGGCAGAATAATGAAGTGTAAAGTATGATATAATCTTAGCAGGAACTATAGAGAAATCTTCTTGTATCTAGTGCATATAAATAGTTATCATATTAAATATAATTTTCACACTCGCTGGCGAGAATCGATCATAAGACTTCAGACTGAACACTCTTTTCTCACGATCATCTACACTATACTTAGAGGCAACTCAAGTGGTCCTAGCATTTTGCAATAGATTGAAGATAAAGAGTTTGCTCCCTTCAATTTATTACTTATTGGAACATGATCAAAAATGACTTTAAATATGACTATAACTAGATCATATACATGCAAAGTGGTTTGTACGTAAGAGAATGTCCAATGGAACATAAATTAGATTTTTTTTTCATCTCAAGAAATTACCATATATTAAACGCATGTTATTTTGGGATGGAAAAATAAAGTTGAACGTTGGAAGACATTGAAAAAAGTTGAAAGAAATTAAAAAAAAGTTAAGAAAAACTGAAAGGATTTAGGAAAAAATTATTGAAAAAATATAGTAGAAAAATGATTGAAAAAATGAAAGTTATTGAAATGAATTCGGGAGATAACTTCAATTGGACTCGATGGCCGGTCAATTAACTTCATTCACAATGAGGAATAACAAGTGAAAAATTTCGAGTTTAATCTATTGCAGAAATGACACAAGTGAAAAATTTCTGAGTCCGAACCTGATTGCTACAATGAGGAATAACCATGTGAAGTATGAGGCTTTCAATTTGTAAGTATCGGACACAAAATTCCACTTTTAAATCAAATAACAAAGATTATTACTTAATTTATCTCTTATCAGCTAACTATCCAATCGGTGCTGAAGTACCGTGAAAATGGGATGTCAAAATAGATCGGAAGAAAGTGGCAGTGATCTGGGTTAGAGCTTGAAAAAAAATGAAGCCATTTGGAGAAGAGAGTGGTAGGTGAATCAAAACTTCCATCCATCGTGGGAACTCTACCGATAGTCAAAAAATAGAGCATTTTGTAAGCGGTCAATTATTTCATTCTTAGAAATAAACAACCTTTTGGAATTTTGCCACACCTTATATCATTATTTGGAAAGTAAAAAAAAATAAAGTTATTGAAAATTAAAATAAAGAAACAACCCTTTGTACACATTTCAAAAAAAAAAACAACCTTTTGAAATTGGGGAACTTATATATACTCCCTCCGTCCTAAAACTTTCTTCCCAGAGCACTATTCCAACTTCACGGGAATTTATATGTATTTGTGTTTTTTCATGGCCTATATGATAAAATAAAATATTCTTGTTACCACTTGTTTTGTTGAACTTTTGATGTAGTTTTTAAATATGTATGTTTTATTTTTTATTTCTATACCAATATTTAAATAAAATAGATTGAAAAAATTTGGGATTTTTCTTTGTTTTGCGAACCGGGAAGAAAGATATAGGACGGAGGGAGTATATTTTAATTTCTCAACGTAGTACCACTGATCATTGTCCACTCGACATTCTTCAAGTAAATGTCCACCATCACTGGACACTGTTCAAAGTAAATGTCTACCATTCCACTGCCACTACACATTGTTCAAATAATATTTAGAGAATAAAATTAAAAGTTTTAGGTACTACATTGGAAAAAATATAAGTTTTAATACTACCTCTGTCCCATAAAACCTTTCTCTTTTTTTTTATCCGTCCCACAAAACATTTCTCATTTCTATTAAAAAGTCACTTTTACCCCTTACTTTTTCATACCCTAACTATCACATCATACCTTTTTACTAATAATATATCCATCAAATCATACTTTTACCCATCACATCAAAGGACATGTTTGGAAATTCAATACCAAAATACACTCCCCTTAAATCTCTCCTAAAAAGCAAAACTCTCATGTTTCATGGGACGGAGGGAGTACTATTTAGTACTCTGTATAAATTTCACTTTGAAATTGATAGAGTTTCAAAAGAAATGACCTTTTGAAATTGTGTCGCACGTCATATCATTATTAGAAAATTAAAATAAAGAAACAACCTTTTGTACACATTTCAAAAGAAATAAAAGAAATCACCATGAATAGGATTAAAACATTAAAAAAGTATCAAAATAGGAGTTCCATGTTTTTTCCCTAAATAGGAGTTCACACTTATTAATGTGACATTGTGCATGTGCATTTTACGTAATATACATGATTATGATTGGTAATGTAAATGCATTTTAATTCCTATTTCCGGAATAAAAATAGAAATTCCTATTTTGGTATATTTTTAATGTTTTACTCTTACTTTGATCTTTTTTCGATGAAACAACGATTTAAAATTGTATGGAGTACATGTTATATGGTGATTAGAAAATTAAAATAAAAAAAAATATATTTACTCCTAACAAAAAATATCAAAAAATAATATTTAGCGCTAGCTAGGTGGTATATGAAGTTTTGTATTCTGTCTTATTGTTTTTGTCTTGAGTTGTTCCTCAGTGATCCTTAAATTTATATGTGAAATGTGAACCTTCTCGCACTTTTCATGAACTAACAAATTTTTAGTATGTACGTCGTCGTCTGGCATCTATAGCCACTATAAATTCCCCCCAAATACTCTTCCCTACGTGAGAGTAAACCAACATTGCAATTTGATATACTCCGTATGTATATATATATATATATATAGTCTTCCCTCCTCCCATCAAAAGCTAACTAGCTAAGAATGGACTCCGTGGACCTGTATTGCCACGAACAACTAGACGACGATGACGACGACGACGACGAAGACCCCGACCGAGGAGACCGAGGAGACAACGACGACGATGACGACAACAGCACCATCGATGACGAGAATGGTATTTGCAGTGAAACTGGGAGCAACACCGACATAGAGGAAGGGAGGGACGTTGACGACACCGACGACTATATGGACGAGGACGAAGAAGATACTGACAGCAATGATGGTAGCTAGCTAGCTAACTAGCTACCTACAACGCTGTTAATTAGTTATGGTCGGGATTGGAGTTTCGTGCTTTTAATGTATGTCACTTTTGTTTATTTATGTTTTCTCATTACTTATTTGATAAAATGAAATATTGTTATCAAGTCACATGGGTACTATCATAAGTGCCACCACATATTGTTTGTCTGTGCAAAGCATATCACCCATGTGGTGGTATCCTAGCATGCCCCTTTGTTTTGTACTTCTTAGAACTTATTTTATAATGTAATGGTGTTCCAATGTAATGGAGATCCCTCCATAAACTTTTATACTCCGTTGAAAATTATTTATTTCTCCTTTCAAAAAAATAAAATTTCTTTCTAATATTATTTGGTAAATTATTGTAGTATTGTTTACCAAATAGACAATATACCAAAAAAAAAAGGCAGAAAGAAAGAGAAAAAAGTGATTCATCATTCTTCATGTTTCCATGGCATAAAATATGGATTAGTCCCCTCAACAATAACAAGCGCACTCTGATTTCCGATAATAAAATAAATGAGGAAACTGAAAACTGCTCGAGGGAGTTTCACAAAATTGGAGATCAATGAAATGAATCATGGGGTTTCAGCTCTTAGCTACAAGACGAATAATCTTCCCTTCACCAGCAGCAAATCTAGAGCTTTTACTAATCTGCATTGAAACAAAAAAACAAAAAATAAACAATAAAAAAAATTAGTCATTATTTAATTTGAAGCCAAAAATGAGCTGCCATCACAATATAAAGGGAGTATTTGGTTTGACTTTGGGGGGTGATTTTGCTGGTTTTAGAATCACAATCACATTTCCCATAGTTTTGGTGCGTATTTTGACACAATGAGACGTGAATCTGGTTTCTGAATCAAGATATTGGATAATTCTACTTATGGTAATGTTATTTGGAAGGGAGCGTTTCGGTTGACGCTACAGTGCCATTGGAGTTTTGGGACACTTACAGTGATCCGTTCGCAAAATTAATAGTTTTAACCCCCCTAACCACCCACCAAAACCCCAGCTCCCTAGTCCCCAGTTCCCCAGCTCTACCCCCCTCTCCTTAATCGTTAATTTGGCCTGCGATTAAGGGAAGGAGGATAAGAGGGGGTAGGAACCATCAATTTCACGAATAGAGCACGGTAAGTGCCCAGTATCATCGGATGACACCGGATTCCAGTGTCACTAGACCCTTGCCATATTTGGAATGGCCTCTTTTTTCAAATGCAGACCAAAGCCACCCAGAATCAATAGCATTAACAGAAAACTTACTTTCTTCTCAAGAACTTCTAGAACTTCATTTTCATCACGGGTGTAGCCCGATTCCCTTAAAGACTTCAGGACTGCCTTCTTAAGTTTCCCAAACTTCATAGCACCATCCGGTTTCTGCTCCAAATGTAGGATAGAGTGACAACCATGTATAGAAGAGTAATTTTTATTTTTTAAAAAAATGGTAGATGCCCATCAATTTTTGGAGAAGTGGCAATTCCCATCAATAATATTTCTAGAAGAAAATAGCCCATGACTATTAGTTCAGTTTCACTTTGGTGCCCGGCTTTCATTTTTATCCTATTGATTGCTTGCCGAGCTAATTCCAAAGTAGAAATAACCTAATAGTTGTGGAACAAGAAGTAGAATATTTTGTTTTGGAAATAGATTGAAAACTTATATCGTCGGAAAATAAACAAAAGGAAGAGAAAGAGTATACAGATTTCAAAGCTGAGGTGATCAGTTTCTTCCACTTAATCTTCTTTGCTTTATCTTCTTCTACTTCCACCAAAGTGTTTTTGGCTCTCTTGACATGGATGTTTGTTTCTCCCATACTTTCACTACCAGCCTTTTGTTTGACCGCACCATTTTCAGATGCTTCATGGTTCCGTTTCTTTTTTGAGAGTAAATTTTCATTTTCTGCTTCAGATGGATTGAGATCCTTTTGCTCTTTATTTGATTTTCTCTCGGGAGCCTCTTCTTTTGGATTGTTATCAGTTGAGACAGTTGCATCTGGATTGGTTGATTCTGTCTTCCCAGTCTGTTGTTGGTTGGCAGCATGAAAAGCCCGTGCCTTTGCTCTATGCTTCTTACCATCAGCATGGAGAAGAAGGGTTTGCTTACTAGAAGCCTTAGTATTGCATAGACTGCATATAAACAAATCATCATCGCATACACGCAAAAAAACATTAATTTGGGGGGCAATGAAACCCAGAGCGAACAAGCAGAAACCAACATTAAAAAATTCCTCTAAAAACGGAGCCTCATGCAAAAAAATCCCATCAAGCGAGGGTTCGAGGAAGGTCCCACCACAAGGGTGTATCTATAATTCCTTTTCAATGGATTCCTATATACCCATAAATTTAGAGTTCAAAGATAAATATTTTTTCCAAAGATTGGTTAAAACCTGCAAAACCACGGAGGGCGATCAGACAATCCAACATTTGTATCCACTTCGGGCCTTTTTTTCGTGTCGCTGTTGGGGTTAGAATTTTTTCCATTTGGTGTTTTCACTTGGCCCTTTGGACCATACTTTTCCTGATAAAATATCATTGAAAACAAGTCCAAATCATAAACATATTTTGAAACAATTACTTGTATTAAACAAGAATTTTAAAAGGATGTTTTAAGCAAACAAAAACTTCAGGGCAATCATTGTCCTTCAATCAAACAGACCCCCCCCCCCCCCCAAAAAAAAAACATTTTGCAGCATCTAATCCAGCACCATCAACCATTTACAAGGCATGCAATCAGCAAATGCAACAAGAATAAGAATGATGAAGTATAATTGAAGTCAAAGAACATCATGATTAGCACTTTAACAAAAAATAAAAACAATAACAACCAATATAATCTCAACTCCATTGACTATATGTGGTCATTATGTATGCAACCTTAACCTTGTACCCACAAAAAAAACTCTCTTCCCATTAAAACCTTGATGCATTGCTGCATTTACTACCCAAAACATCATAATAGAAGAAGCAAATGAAGCATAATGCGTTATTACCACTGTAAGCATTAAGCTTTAAAGAACAAATTATAACATTTTTCAATCAATTTGATACTTATAGCAGGGTAAAAAGAAAGAATTGTCTTTTGCAGTACTTCCCCAATAGGAGTGAGATTGTAAGTGAGATCAGGAAATAACTTTAGAACAGACAGTAAAAATAAACAAATGCAATGCTTAAAAATTACCGCTTCAGAAATGCACTGGGTGTGACTTTCCACAGTTTGCTGGTTAAAGACTTGCCCACAATCAATGCATGATAGCTGCGGAGCAGAGATATCTCAAAAACAGTGAGATTCGTATCTAAATGCGAATAAAACGATTAAAATCAACGATTTGATGGATCAAATTACTTCAAACGAAAACACGGAAGATACACGGGGAGGAAATGAGAGGGGAAAACAAAGCGTGGACCTTGAAAGCAGAGCAAACTCTGTAATGGCCAGGAAGCTTCGGCTTCTTCAGATTGTCGCCGCAGTCCTCGCACTGAAACCAGACCATCTTCTATCCCCGTTTTGTTCTCTGTGACAAAGGAAAAAAATCCTGAACGAATTCTGCGTTCGATTGTTGTTTGCAGAAAAAAAATCCTGAACGAATTCTGCGTTCGATTGTTGTTTGCGGGATTGCAGAGCGGAGCTGGGATACTCGGAAAATATGGGGTTTTCCGTTTAGGGTTTTGGGGAAGATGGTAAAGTTTGCTGATCTGAGTGCAAATGCTTAAATGAGCCCACAAGTAGCCCAGTTCAAGGTTAGAATTAGATGATGACATGATGCCCAAGACACCAAGAGAATGATAGAAATGTTAAAAGGGAATTTCTCCTGTGCCTTTGCTAATGAAGGGGCATGGATGCCCTCCCACTAAATTGCTTCCAAAAAGCCACATCATTTTAACTTTTAAAATTGCATAATGGCCCTATCTCTTTATCCTTATTTAATTTAACTCATCTACACATGCTAATGTCATTTAAAAATATTGTTTTTAAATTGAATCAATCATTATATTCCATTCTAAAAAAAGATTTTAATTTGATTTTTTAGGATTGAAATTAAACACTTTGGCCATGAAATTTAAAAAACAATATGTTGAATAATAATATAAATTTAAACTACTCCCTCCGTCCCAAATTATTTGCAACATTTACTTTTTCAGCAGTCGCGGGAACTTTTGTTTATTTCTAAAATTTCATTGATTATTTGATAAAATAAAATATTCTAGATACCTTTTATTTCGAAGAACTTTTTCATATAGTTTTTTGATATGTAAATTTTATTTTTTATTTTTATACCAATATGTAAATAAAATGAATTAAAAAAACTTGATATTTTGCCTAGGGAATACAAATATGGCAAATATTTAGGGACGGAGTGAGTATTTGATTTGTCTTTAAGTATAATTTTGAAATATCATATTTTTTATAAAATTTATTAATTTTATATATATATATATATATATATATATATATATATATATATATGAAGTACTAAATTTCACTTTCATATAATTCATATAAAAATTAAGAGTACTCGCTCCGTCCGGAAATGTTCTTTACATTCGGCTTTTATTAGTCAATTTTGTAAACTTTGACTCTAATTTTTGGAAAAATATATATTATATTATGATATAAATTTAATATCAATATATTTCTAATCAATCATAATTTTGAAATATCAAAATTTTATAAAATATACCTATGTATAAATATACGGAGTAGTTATTAATGGTCAAAATGTAACATTGGAAATCGTGAAAAGTCAAATGAGAAGAACATTTCCGGATAGAGGGAGTATATAAAGTTTTTTTAATTTTTTTTCTTTTGATTTTGTCATCAGATTTATTTTGATTTTTCAATTTTTAAATTTTAATTTTTTTTACTTTAATTTTTTTACATATAATATTGAAATATCTTTCAAGAAAACTAATTTTAAAAAATTAGTTTTTCTAACAGCCAAGTCCAAAAGATACTCTCTTTGGCTTTCCGAATTTTGACTTTTCAGATCAAACTGCCAAGTGAAAAAGCCATTATTCAAACACCGATTTTTGTTGTTCAATTAGTGAGATAACACGTTTTAAACTATTAGGTCTTCTATGTGACATTTTAACCATTAATATGCATGTATGTATGTGTGTGTGTGTCTATATATATATATATATATATATATATATATATATATATATATATATATATATAAAATTAATAAATTTTATAAAAAAAATATGATATTTCAAAATTATAATTAAAGACAAATCAAATACCCCGGAGTAGTTTAAATTTATATTATTATTCAACATATTGTTTTTGAAATTTCATGGTCAAAGTTTTTAATTTTGATCCTAAAAAATCGAATTAAAACTTTTTTTGGAACGGAATGATTGGTTCAATTTAAAAACAATATTTTTAAATGACATTAGCATGTGTAGATGAGTTAAATTAAATACGGATAAAGAGATAGGGCCAATATGCAATTTTAAAAGTTAAAATGATGTGGCTAAAAAGTCCACATGGAAGCAATTTAGTGGGAGGGCATCCATACCCCTTCATTAGCAAAGGCACCGGAGAAATTCTCATGTTAAAATATGAGAGGAAAAAATTGTGTTAGATGAGAAAGTAATTTTATTCAAAATAAAGTAATTCTAAGATGTTTTTCTGAAACATTCAAATAAAAAAATATTTAAAAAGTTTTTTCGTGACTATTGATAGATATGATATTTTTATTACACTACTACCAACAGTTGCTAGATATGATATTTTTATTTTCTTTTCAATGGATCTTATGATTCAATCCAGAAAATATGAATAAATTACTCTTACAACATGTTTATTCAATGAATTTCGAAACCCCTCTCTAATAATAGGGGGTGCATATATGGGGTCAGCAATATTAGGAATTTAGATCCTATAATATTAAATCTACAATAGTATTATTGCGCTCCACTCTAATTATTTCCTTTTATCACACTTCCTCCTTGGAGCTAGATCCTTCTTACGAACCGGAGCCCTACGCACTTACTCGGCCCAAAAAGTGCTTGGTTCCAATTTGAGCGATGATATTGGGCCAAGTGGCTTGTATTACACTAATACCAACAGTTGCTAGATTGATCTTCATTATAAGCTTACATGGGTGTGGTATGAATTTCGAAACATTATAAGCTTATATGGGAATAGTGCTTGGTTCCAATTTGAGCGATGATATAAGCTCACATGTCAAGGGGTTGTTCTACTTCAAACCATCACTACCCATCAATCTTTTGAAACATGTTGGCATGAAGCATCAAACACACCACATTATTTTTTCATCATTGCATCTTAGAATCCCAAACCCCTCAATATATGAAGTCCTATCACACCACCTCAAATTTCATCTTAGTTTCATTCTTCATCTTCAATTGAAACAACACAGCTATAGTCATGATAAAAACATTGTATCCATATGTGGAATCTGAAAACCACCCATATAAAGAGGCATGAACTCGTCAAAATGCAAAGATTTCAGGGCAATGATGTTGAGGTTCATTATTTAGAATATGTTTTTCTCACAATCAATCCAAATGCACACACATACCTCATTATGTATAACGAATCTTTTATGGCCGGATTTTGGGTGCCATTTTATCCCGTCTATGTTGACCTCTTATCACTGGAGGATCCTCCCCAGGCATCTAATTACCAATGTGCACTATTGAATCTTTGCTTACGTCCTCCGATGTCAAGAACTCCATGAATGTGCCACATCCCTCGACTTTGAATACATGTCTTTATCCCAATTCCAAACAGTCTCTTTCTGAGAATGTCCCTTCCAAGGTAGTGAAGTAGGGCAAGAGGTACTTTTAAATTGTCTTTCACAACGAACTCCCCTAGGGTTTCTTGCGAAGTCTAGACTCTTACCTTGAGTTTTCTTACAAAACTCCATTATTGGAGGTTGAGAAATTTTGGGAGAGAAGATAACCAAGCTCTAGGGATTTCTCTAACATTGAAGGGGTGAAAAATGAAAAATATTTAGCCCTTTTATTGAAGAACATGCATGAGGATGAAGGTATATACATCTCCATCACAACCACCCAACATAATCAACAAAATAAAAAAAGGTGGAGTTGATGTGATGTTGGGATGGTTATGAATATGGAGATGGGGGATGTCTCATGGAAGGTGTATGAGAATATCTTGCTGGAGGAGGGGATATTGGTTGATTTTGGGATAAAATCTCACTTCCGGAAGAAATAGTTTATATGTTTGAATATCGAGTTAATTATTTTTCGAACGGAGTCCGATTTCAAAACTGATCGCTTTTTTTAGCTTGGGGAAATAAATACAATCTAGCGGTGCATTCGAAATATTTTCCTAATATTTTTATTTTTCAAGCCACCGGGGCCCACATGGTTAAAATTAGCGACTTGAGTAGTAAATACTTTTAAACCGGTTTTTGTATCGTTACAACCATCAAGGTCGACCGCCAACCACCATTGCTATCGTCGACGACGACTAACAATCACCACACCACCCGTCAACGACCGCCATCATCGCCAACTCACAATCACTAGTGTTGTCGACCAATCACTAGGGGTGTTGAGATTTAGAATGGTCTAAACTCTTAATTATTCTAGTCCAAAGCTTATTTCATAGAGACAAGACAATCTGAGACACAATATTGTTCAGATTTTTTTCACCAAACAATTAAGTTCTATATGATTCAATTTATATGTTCGTCATTATACAACCATACTCCCCCTGTCCCACAATGATTTACGTTCTTTAGTATCCAAAAGAATATTTATTTTTTAATATATTTTCATTAATTATTTGTTGATTTAAAATAATTTTTCAATTTTTTTTGTAGAGTTTTAGATGTGCTTTTTAAGTATGCAAGTTTTATTTTATATTTTTATACCAATCTTCTAAATAAAATAAATTTAAAAAATGAAAAGTATACTTTATTTTGCCTAAAAATGCAATTCATGAAGAACATAAACAATGAATATTCCAAACCCCATTTTATTTATTTTCAATATATCAAACCAAAGCTTAAGAGTTAAGATGTCAAAAAAACAAAACATGACAAAAATAAAGAGAGCAATTATAAGTCCGGAAGTATATGAATGTTTTTCCCTTTAAAAAAATATTTATTGCCTATATCAGCAAATCAAAATCTAAATTAGACAATGCGCACAACATGCGCGGGGCCCCACCATCTCCACCAGCTAACCAATCATCATCACCAAATAAATAAATAAAGAAATAAATAAAACTTAAATACCAAAAAAAAGAATTTTACAGACAAGTTATTAGAGAGAGAAAGCATCATCATCATCAGCTTAAGCAAAGCTTTTTAGACAGAGAAACTCTCCATTCATTTTCACTTTACCTTTCCATTTCTGCTCATCTCAAATTCTCCCTCATTCTATACATTTCTGCATTTCATCTCCGGCGAGTAATCGGAAAAGTTTAAGCTTTTCACCGGAAGGCGGGAAAGCCGGTTGTTTCCTTCTCCGTCTCCCTTGAAATCGTCGCCGGCGCGCGGCGGGAATTGCCGGAGCTCCGAGTTGGTCCCAGCTCCGATCTGAGCGGGCGAGTCGGAGACCGGCGGTTTTTTTTCCTGTTGATGAGTTGCGGGGGAGGAGATCGATAGACTCGGAGCTTGTCCGATGGTAAGTCAGAGCTGAAACGACTGCTTCATTTGTCGTTTTTCGTTTGTCTTGTTGATTTCCTCTTCAAGTCAATTATTTTCAAACCGCAGTCAATGCCACTGATTCATTTTTTTATTGTCTTGTTCTGTGGATGGGGATTTAACTGGGGTGAATATACATATATATGGCTTGTTGAATATGCAAAAACTTTTGGAGTAATACATAGAGACTTGTATTGATTAGTGATAATGTATTAAGACTTGATCAAGACATATGCCTCATTCTTTTGAACTTTTAATTCCACTAATCCAGATTTCATGTTATGGGCTCCAGACTTCAGCTAAAATTGAAGTAGTATGACTATCCCGAATTCCCGACTCGAAATTCTAGTTTTTAGACGCTGAACTCCGAGTTTTATTCTTCCCACACTAGTTAAAATTAAAGCAAAGAAAAGGCCTTATTACAGTTTAGAACCAATGGTGTCTTAGGGAAATGGAACCAAAAACTGTACTATTCAGAGGACTATTATGTCATCAAAAAAGAAAGAAAGGAAGAAAGCAGAATCTTGGAGTCTTGTCTGTCAATTGCAATGAACACTCGGCTCGAGTTAGCCAGTGTTAGTGGGAAGCTAAACCATAATAATTTGGGTTCCTGGCTTCCTGCATGAACAGATTGTTGATCAATCCAGATTATCCTCATTTCTTCAATATTGCCTCGTATGAGCAAATCAATATTGCCATGGGTGAAGTGGAAGATGCTAATGGGGATTCTAATATTAGTGAGTATATGGGAATATGCACACTTCATAGCCCATCTAGGAGGCACTTCACTAACATACTACAGGGTATTAGAGTTTAGAGCATATGGTATCAAATTCACTCATTCAGTACCATGTTTTTTTAGAGAAAGATATTCAGGGACAAATACCTAGCCAATACAAAGAGTACTGTTAGATATAGTGTTAAATATATTGTGCGTGTTAGGTTTGTCCATTTTTTTTGCTTTCTCTTTGCAAATGTTAACTTATTTGCGAGCATTAGCTGTAATGGCTGATAATTAAAACATAGTGCCGAAGTTATTTACTCCCTCCATCCCTCATAGATCTTCCCAATAGCCCTTTTTCTTTGTCCACAATAGATCTTCTCATTTCATGTTTTCACAATTAAAATACCACAACTACCCCCACTTACTTTATTTATTACACCTCACCCACCTCATTTAAAACACTCTACCTATTTTCATTAAGGGTATTATGGTAAACTTTCACCTTTTTTCAACTCTCCTTAAAAACCACCAAAAGTCAAAATGAGAACATCTTAGGGGGACGGAGGGAGTATTTATTTATTTATTGTTAAATTGTTTGAAATGAAGGAAAAAAACCATTCTACACTCAAATTTAAGTTATCATTTCATTTAATTCATTTATTAAATAAATTTTAATTCATTTTTAGATGGCTCAATCCACTCAATGATTTCATCATCTATCTTCTCAGAATCATTTAAATATTTTAACCAAATTTTCAATCCATCAAACACACTCTATATGTCGGTCCCCTCTTATTCATTTCACGAATGTAATTGACCGACCATTCACAAATTTATAAAGTCAAATCAATGCTCAAATACATAAGTTAAAGGATAATGTAGCACACCTCTTTTAAGTAATAAGTAATGCCATGTTCCTTCATTATTAGACTAATGTTTTGGCAAGTGTTTTGACTGTTTTCTACAAAATACCAATAATTAGCACATGTAAATCAACGTTCATTATTAATTTTAAAAATTGTTTGGTACTCCCATAATCTATATTACACCCTTGCTAAGATTCCTCAAATGGGGAAATTCTCACTAATATACTTAACACCAAGGTGTGGTGGTGGTCATATATACAAAATTATTAAACCTTACAAGACTATGCACTTGCTGAAGTTCAAGATATTGGTAATGCATGAACAAAACTTCAACTTGCTTTAATTGGATGCTAATCCCTATAATATTCACTCAGCTTAAAGCCATGAACAAAATTTCAACTTGTTCTAATGGGATGCTAATCGCACATTAGAATATTAGATGCATACAGAGTTGCTACTTTTGTTTTGGAAATGTGGCCCAAAGGCCAAAGCTTAGCGGGAGATGAAGGAGATCTAGCTTATGTGTCCCCACAAAATTAAGAGTTGTTGATAGTTCTTATTAGAGTAATTTCATAAATGGTCCCTAATTAAACGTGATTTTCATATTTAGTCTCTAATTCTAAGATATTACATAAATAGTCCTCAAATTTTGAAACTATTTCATAAATAGTCTCTCTGGCCAAATATGACAAAATATATTTTCCACATATAGTCCCTGAAGAATTGATTACGGAATAATTTTCAAAAATGGAAGACTATTCATGTAAAATCTTAGAATTAGGGACTAAATATGGGAAAATACCTGTAATTAGGGACCATTTATGGTTACTCTTCTTATTATGTACTCCCCCTTACCAAAATGTGGAGCCCTTGCGAGAAACTAAGCCAAAGTTTGGTCAAAATATTGTATAACATGCATAGTAAAAAAATTACATTACTACTACAACAACCAACCTATAAGATCCCACGAATAGGGTTTTAGGGTAAGTGTACGTAGACCTTACCCCTACCTATAAAAGGTAGAGAGACTGTTATGGAAAAACCTCGGTTCAAACACAAAAGACAAAAATTACATAGTCGAATATTATAGAGTTTAGAGTTATGAAACTAATTTTCATCATAACTATAACAACATCACAATAATATTATTTGAGTTTGTATCTTAAGAAAAATTGTTGAAAAAGTGTTGACTTTGACTTTCACGAAGTTCAAAAAGTGTTGAAAAGTGAAAAAGGTGTGTTTGAAATTGGTTAAGAGGAGAAAGAAATTTTCTTAGCCTCAAATTCTTTACTTTTAAAGGAAAGTTAGAAGTTTTTTATGATACATGGGGAGTATATTTCTCTCTCTCACACACAAACAACACACACACACACACACATGTGTGTGTGTGTGTATATATATATGTATATATATATATATATATATATATATATATATATATATATATATATATATATAGGTCCAAGTGTGTTGAATGATGCACAATGGAAGAAATGAGAATGCATTTGATCCAATTGGATTTAGGATCTAAGGCCTATTAAAAACTAGAAAATCTAAAAAAATGGAAAATCGCGCTGACATTTCATACATAAATCAAACTTTGCTGACACTTCAAAAATGCACTATTGCAAGTGTGAATGTGCATTACGATAGACCAAGAATGCATTTTTTGCATTTCTCTCAATAAGATCATTTTCACGTGAACCTATACACAGACACACTGATATATATATATATATATATATATATATATA